TGAAAATAACTGACGAAAAATCTGTAGTAAATAAAATGTTAAGTAACGAATATTCAAGTCGGCTTGTTATTTAGTACCCTCACTGTTATAGATAGATAGATAGATAGATAGATAGATAGATAGATAGATAGATAGATAGATATGAACAGAATAATACAAACAGATAGATAGATAGATAGATAGATAGATAGATAGATAGCGTTGTGCTGAAATAGGCTTGGACTGCAGTTCACACCAAGGAAGAACAAGATTATTAGACAGATCTATATATATAGACAACAGATAGACAACAGTAGCACTAGCTAGTCTCTGACAGTCTTCAGGCAGAATGTAAAGTCCATGCCTCGGGCAAGAGGTATCTGGATTCATTCACATACCACAGACTGGCTGGGCGTAACTGACGGAATATTAGACGGAGTTAATATTACATCAGAAATATTGAAGATTGTCTTCTCATTACTAAAGGCACAACCGATTTCTTTATAACTTGGTAATATAAAAGTTATAAAATCAGCTTCCCGTCATTTACCCTTATTTGGCCATGTGATAATCTAAGCTCATAAAGATCGATATATAAAAATAATAATGTTGTGACAAATAGCTGCCGATATTGCGTATTTTCCACTGACGCCAGCGGTCAGTTTGACAGCTACATAACAATACCAATTTCAGCTGGGTAAATTCGAATAAACGACCTTGAAGAATTCTATAAGATGCTAGAGTTGTTACGAGTGTATATTTCTACCAGGACTCTTCAGAACTAAGTTCTGTTTGTTGGCCTATATACAGATCCCGCTAAAGGAGAAGCCACACATGGCCTTAAGATCGCTTCATGCGTAAAACTGACAGTTATCATTTAACTTTGAGTCATATATCCCATTGTCTATATCGAAAATGAAATAAAAGACCAATAAAAATAAGCCCTATAAATAAGGAAATAGTTATATATATATATATATATATATATATATATATATATATATGTGTGTGTGTGTGTGTGTGTGTGTGTGTGTGTGTGTGTGTGTGTGTAATGGTAACAAATCCGTTGATATATAATTCAAGGGAATCCTAGTAATATAAAATATTAAAACTGATCCACAAAAAGAGCTCAATGTATGTATTAGGCCATATGAAATGATTTGGGATTTTATTTATATATATATATATATATATATATATATATATATATATATATATATATATATATATACTTTAAAAATATACATTTTAATGCTTTATTTCAAAAAACCCTACAGAAAGCTACAGAAAAAAAAGAAAGAATAGGAGATAAATTTAAAAGCTAAGGGCTACAAAGCAAATCTAGAATTTAAACCTCAACATATTAAACATACGAAATCCATTTCGAGGAAAAGAAAAAATATTATTTTGTTTAACCCCACTTTTAAGTTAGAGATGAAATATAATATAGGTAAATTATTTTTCAATTTATTTTCTAAACTCTTCCCCCAAAATTCAGAAACTACATAAGATATTCAATAAAAATACATTCAAATTAAGCTACAACTGCACAAGGAATTTAGATACAATAATAAACATACAAAATAACAGAAACTTCAAAACCAACGTGCAGCAAAATAATACTAGTAATTTATGTAACTGTAGAAAAAAAATAGATGCCCATTAAATGGAGCTTGTAAATCAGAATGTATAATTTATAAAGTAGAAGTAACAAATATTAAAGGTGAAATTAAAACATATAAAAAAACCCTTTCAAGTGCAGATGGTACAATCACACATCAACTTTTAAGCTATCAAACCTTAGATACTCCACCAAACTTGCCAGCTACATGTGGAATTTAAAAGAAAAAAATAACAGGTACCCGGCATGCACATTTTAAAAAAGGGAAAAATATATAACAATTACACCCGCATTTGCAAACTATGCCAATATGAGAAATTAGTACTTATGACATTCCCGGATCCAAAAAAATCTTTTAAACCAAAAATCCGAAACTTTAAGCACTTGCCTTCATATAAAAAATTATTAAGTGAGTATGAAGCCGGTTAGAAAAAATCTAATTTAAAACCCCACTGTTACTCTTTAGATACGCGGGACTCACCATCCTCCATAAAAGTTACATATTTGATTTCCCTCTTTACTGCATGCATTTACAATACAATCCCATTCCTGTTTCTTTCCATTTTTTTCTTTTCTTCCCCCTTCTTTTCCCCTTCCTTTCCATCATACTTAATGTCCTGTTTTTTTATCAATCTGCCTTTTATTTATTTTTATTTATTTATTTTTTTTTTGAAAGATAATTATGTAGCGTTCTTTGTGACTTTTTAAACAAAGCGTTAAAGTGGCCATTTTAAAAGTATCGCCCGAAAATACCGTTAGGTTGAAACCAAAGTCGCGTATTTTATTTGACCTTTTAATTTTTAAAGTTAAAAGCTCTACATGTTATTTTTATTTTACTTATATTTTTTCTTACGTGTATTGAGAACTTTTCAATATTACTGTTTCCTGGTCTGACCATTAACCTATATATATGGTTTATCAAAAATACTTTTACAAACATACTAAATATTTTGGGAGGGACAGTGATATAGACTGTTCATCTGTCGAACTCTCTGCTTTGAGCAGAGAGGAAGGAACCCGAGCGGGGCTTTGCCGAAGGGCAAAGTTTCGTCCGGGGACGTAGACAGACCCTGAACCCGTTTATACCAGTTCTAAGGGAATATTTTTGGTCGAGCCTACGGGCTCGGAGAACCCACTGTAAAATCGGCCTTGTGCCACATACATCCCTGGTGGGGGGAGGCTGTTAAATATTAATATACTAAATATTTTTAGCTTCTAAAAGGCTTATTTTGCTATCCTAACATGCCTTGGTAGTTTAGGAATAAAATTCCCATCACTATTAGTGTTGTGTTTAAGAAACATGGAGTCGCCCATCCGCTCTGAGTCGAACGTCTTCTCTTGAAACAGGAGCAAAAAATGATTCGATGAATAACTGTATTCTAAATCCATGTTGACAAATCGATGAATAACTGTATTCTAAATCCATGTTGACAAATCGATGAATAACTGTATTCTAAATCCATGTTGTCATGTGATTAAATTCTTCTTCACTCAACCTTTTGTTTCTAATGTTTTCATTAAAGTCTTACTAACCAGCAACTATGAGCGTTTGGCGAACATTTTAACATGTTCCGTATATACCTCACGTAATGCATATCGTGCGACACCCAAATTTTCATTTATGAAAAATGATTTCATCATGGATCTCGTATACCAGGCGGGTCCCTTTGTTTTGAGAAACCAAATTACAATAAATTAACTTCTTTTCTGATATCTTTTTATCCGATTTATTGTTCAATAAGTTAAAAAAAGTAAAAGCAAATGATAAAAGTATCGTTAGTAACGCTATACTAATTGCGTAAACACGTCCAGCCATAAACAAGCGAACGAGAAACATCTTATAAACGTAAACAGTGGAAAAAATGCATATTCGCTTTGCTTATATATTGATCTCTCTGGATTACATCTTCCTCGGAATTATCCATACGGATTACCAAATAATTTTATTAACTAACTAACTATATATATGTGGTGTATCAAAAATATTTTTACAAACATACTAAATACTTTTAGATTTTTAAAGACATATTTCGCTATCCCAACATACCTTGGAATTTTAGGAATAAAACTCCCATCAATATTAGACTGACTGAAAAATTTTAAGATTAATCTGAAACTTATTATTGAAACATGGACTCGTCCATCCGCTACGAGTCGAACGTCTTCTCTTGAAACAGAAGCAAAAAATGGTTCGCCATTAGTCTTACTAAAAAGCGACTATGACTGTTAGGTAAACATTATAATATACACTATATATACTCGTGCAACGCGCGATCAAGCATATCATTCGTCAGTTCAAACCTAGGTGCACAAGGTCGAATTTATGAGGATCGAACCTACTACTCAATCATAATTGTTCTACCAAGACAAGCTTGTTAACCATTACACGATGTCGAGTTGCCCAAACTTAGTTTGGCACAAGGCTACAAATATAGCGCAAATAGTATTTATACTGTTGCATAGGATTTTTGACTAAACTTCTCTACACTTAATATTGAAACATGGACTTGTCCACCCGGTATGAATAGAATATCTTCTCATGCCGCACTAAATAACTGTATTTTAGATCCATGTTCTCATGTGAATAAACCCTTCTTCATTCAACCTTTTGTCTCTAATGTTTTCATTAAAGTCTTATTAACCAGCAAGTATGGCGAACTTTACAACAATTTTGTACAATAAGATTTTATAATCTGTGTATATTTCTGAGATGAGGTATTATGTACAGTATTTACATTAGTCGGACTATTGTCCTCATCTTTGTCGCCATATTTGTCACAAAGGATAAAGGCGTTGGTTAGATCCAGTGACAGACCCAAAGAAGGTGAGTTCAATACCTGGTTAAGGCAGTGGAGAACTTTCAGGGGGAAAATTAGCAGGAGATAACTGATAACTGACATCCATCAAACATGGCACGTGGAACTAGAACAGTCTACCCCAGTGATCGAAATAAAGTGTTCAGTTCGAAATTCCAACCACCTGAAGAAGGCCGGAGCGTACAACGGCCGAAACGTTGTGACAAATATGGCGACAAAGATGAGGACAATAGTCCGACTAATGTAAATACTGTAAGATTTTATAAATTTCGACGTTTATTGATCGGCCAATTCATATCGAATATAGAAGAAAATGGCTGTACATAATATTACCATTCTAGGCCCCGATGATTGGCGCAACAATTAAAATTAGATATTTCAATACTAACAATTGTGTGTAAAAGATGACGATAGAGTTATTTAATAAGATTTGCTTAGTTTGTCACAAGGACATTAATATTGAGCGTCAAGTTAGGATGAATCTCATTGTTCAGTATTAATAGCCAACCAGATTTGCCCCGTAGCTCGTATGTCGATGAGACAGCGAGAAAGACGTGATTTGAAGTGAATATCAATAACAATTTATGTTCATTCGTGCTAATGTGTCATTCATGGTGAAATATTGTTTTTTCAGTGTTTTGTTATAATGTTTCGTTCCCGCCTAAAATTTGAAGAGAATAAAAAAGATGGCTGCCATTCGTTTTGAACCTTACCGTGAGAGAGAAAAATATATCCAATCTTTAGCTTTAACATAAATGTCAAACAGTATTATATATTTGACGTGAACACTTTAGAAAGTTAAGCTTCGTTTTTGAGAGAAAATGATTTTTGAAATGAAATATTTATGTTCGCAATATAGTGCGTATTCTGATAAATATGCCATGACTTTCAAAGCTGATATGAACAGTAAAAAAACATCTAGATATATTTTTAAAATATTGTCACAAATTCAAACGAGAAATATTTCACTGAGACAAAATTTTACTATATTGCTTTTTGTTATGTCAAGACATTTTCTTCTTTGATATTTAATGTATTATTTTTCTTTAAATTTATTTATTGACGCCATTAGGCCACGAGTAAAAAATGTGTGGTGGAGGGAAAATGGCAGACTCTTTCGTTGGCAACGATTTATAGAATGGTTAATTCGTCAGGATATTCTGTATCTTTTTTTATTTCATCGTAAGTCGAAACTGAGTTGGTCTTTCATTTGTGTTAAGTTCTTATCTCCTCATACTTTCGTTCTTCTTGTGGGTGGAAACAAATATTCGTACACATACAAATTCTTATTTTATTATATTTACAAATAATGAACTAACATACTTTTCATATAATTAACTGTACACAGATGCATAATAACTAAACATGCATAGAAAACCGAAAACATTTTGATTTAATAGAAATAATTCCTATTTATCCATTCTAATTGGTGAAAAAGTATTAGTTCAATATAAAAAAGGATACATAATTTTCAATACATTATAGAATAGCCATTATTCACTTCTATAGCAACTAACCTCTTCTTATAGTTCTCAATAAAGATTTTCAAATTTTAGTTGGTATTTTGTTCCATTCTTATTCGCATATGGTCTTCAGATCGGGGATTTTTGTTGGATCATTCGATTGGATTTGAATTTTCAAATAATGCCAGAAATTCTCGATTGGGTTTAAATCTGGGGACTGACATTTCAAAACATTTACATTATTTTCAGCAAGTCACTTCTTCGTAGATTTTGCAGTGTGCTTAGAATCATTATCTTTTTGGAAGATCCAATCAGAAGTTCAAAATTTTCAACCGAAATCATTAAATTTGCTTCCAAAATATTTTGATAGGCTGCGACATTTATTCTACCATCTACTACTGATATGTTGCCAGTACTTTTTGCAGAAAAAACATCCCCAAACCATGTTGTTGCCACCACCAAATTTCTCTGTTGGAACTGTTCTTTTGTTCGAAGGCATCACTATCTTTCCTCCATACATAATTTCTAGAATTACATACAAATAATTTTGGATTCGACTGCCCATAATACTTTTTCCCAATACAATTTTTCTTTATCTTTATGTTCACGAACAAATTGCAATCTGACATTTCTGTGTCTTTTCAATAGCAGTGGAATTTTCTGAGGGGATTTTAGATTCATCAGACAGCATGAACTTAAGCGTGCTACTAGGCTGGCATCACGGTCCCATCCTTTCACGATCGAAACGGTTAAATGTCTCTTCTACTCCAATAGCTTCATGTCTCCCACTTCCCATCCGTGGAATCCTCTTTCTATTACTTGTTTCCCCAATAGCTATAATCTCTAACTATTCAAATGTAATGTCAATCGACATCTCCAGATGCCTTGATCCCTGTCCTTCTCTTCTTCCTTTCCCCCATCACGCCTCTTTAATCTCGCTCCCACTCTGTAACCCCTTGCCTACTAGTGACATCCCCCCCTTGCTTGGGGTGAAATGCTTAAAAAAATTAAATAAATAAATAACAAAAGAATATTAGAAAATAACCGATAAGTCACTATCACCATCATCACCAATACCATCACTACAGCTAGTGTATTCCTCTTTGTTTCTCTTCTTCCCCTTATCTATCTATCTATCTATCTATCTATCTATCTATCTATCTATCTATCTATCTATCTATCTATCTAACAGCCTATTCAGTTTTCTGTCTGTCTGTCTATCTCAGCCTATTCATATCTATCTATCTATCTATCTATCTATCTATCTATCTATCTATCTATTTCAGTGTCAACATTACCTATCTATCTATCTATCAGCCTATACATAGCTATCTGTTTGTCTATTTATCTCAGCCTATACATATCTATGTATTTCAGTTTCTACATTATCTATCTATCTATCTATCTATCTATCAGCCTATTCATATCTATCTATCTATCTATCTATTTCAGTTTCTACATTATCTATCTATCAGCCTATTCATAGCTATCTGTCTGTTTGTCTATCTATCTCAGCCTATTCATAACTATCTATCTAGCTATCAGCCTATTCATATCTATCTATCTATCTATTTCAGTCTCTACATTATCTATCTATCAGCCTATTCATATCTATCTATCTATCTATCTATTTCAGTCTGTACATTATCTATCTATCTATCTATATAATACTAAAAGTCTGGGAATCGTACGTCCATCGGATATCGGGCGCATAATAATTTAAGTTCCTTTGCACCTCTCTCTCTTTTCACCTTTCCCTCTTTTCACCTCTCTCTCTTTTCACCTCACTCTCTCTCTTTTCACCTCCCCCTCTTTTCACCTCCAACCTCTTTTCACCTCTCCCTCTTTTCACCTCTCTCTTTTCACCTCCCCCTCTTTTCACCTCTCTCTCTTTTCACCTCTCTCTCTTTTCACCTCTCTGTGATTGTGTGCGTGCTTATATATTCAGCTTTCTTTAAACTGTTAAATATTTTAAAAATATTTTTTGCCACTACAACTAAAATTATTAATATCCTCAGGGGCCACATTTCTGAGATTCCGATTTCAAGTTCCTTGTATTTTGATAGTTTTATTTTATTTTTTTTTTTTTTTTTTTGAAGCTCTTCAAAGACACGTTATAATCTGCAGGGATTTCCACGTCAATTAGAAAGCACATTCTGTTTTTGTGGTCTTTGGTCACAATGTCTGGGCAATAAGCTTTGATTGTTCTCTCTCTGTGTCTATTTTAAAGTCCCATAATATTGTAACAGATCCTATCTCCGTAACCGGGTTTAGGTGCTGTTCATACCAGTTTCTTGTAGTTTCCTTTCCGTAAGGATTGTGCCATGTGTCCTTGTCCAGTGACAGGACCTAAAGAGTGTGAGTTCAATACCTGGTTAAGGCAGTGGAGAACTTGGAGAGGAGAATTAACAGGAGATAACTGACAACTGACATCCATTAAACATGGCACGTGGAACTAGAATAGTCTACACCCCAGTGATCGAAATAAAGAGTTTAGTTCGACATTCCAACCACCTGAAGAAGGCCGGAGCGTACAACGGCCGAAACGTTGTAATAAATATGGCGACAAAGATGAGAACAATAGTCCGAATAATGTAAATAGTGTACATAAACTCATCTCAGAAATATAGACAGATACTGAAGGGCCGAAACGTTGTAATAAATATGGCTACAAAGATGAGGACAATAGTCCGAATAATGTAAATAGTGTACATAATACCTCATCTCAGAAATATAGACAGATACTGAAGGGCCGAAACGTTGTAATAAATATGGCTACAAAGATGAGGACAATAGTCCGAATAATGTAAATAGTGTACATAATAGCTCGTCTCAGAAATATAGACAGATACTGAAGGGCTGAAACGTTGTAATAAATATGGCGACAAAGATGAGGACAATAGTCCGAATAATGTAAATAGTGTACATAATACCTCATCTCAGAAATATAGACAGATACTGAAGGGCCGAAACGTTGTAATAAATATGACGACAAAGATGAGGACAATAGTCCGAATAATGTAAATAATGTACATAATATATCATCTCAAAAATATAGACCGATATTGTTTATGCTTATTTCATTTTCATTCCTCTGATGAATACGTAAAAAGTTTAAATTACGCTTTGTTTTTTTTTTATCTTGTCTTTCTACAATTCTTGCCTCTTTTTCTTACCATTTGACTTCTTCAGTTTTTTATTTTTCCTGATTATAAAAAATCACTAACATTGATGAACTTATTACGGTGATATTATTTTTAGAAATAAGCAAAAACTACAAGCGACAAACTAATCAGTTGATATGATAAACAAGAGTTTAAAAATAATTTACAACCCATTTTAAATATATCAAAACTTTGCTAGCTTTTGTTATATATTACTTGGAAATGAGGGAAAATATTTGTTAAAACTCATCTTGTAAACACATAAGAAAAATTAAAAATGATGAGATATTTTGAACTTTAAAGAGACGAATGTCTTTTTCAAAAGGTTATAAAAACTCAAAGAGGAAGTTAAATTTAGTTACAATTTTCTGAAATGAGTTTAACCTTTCGATATCATTTGAAAAAAGAAGTAAGAGTGATTCATTGTAATAATTTCTAATGATAAAAATAAAATTCCTAAATTAATATTCCGAATCTAAATTTGTCCGAGGCTAGCGTATAAGTACGTTGCTTTACTTCTAGTTTGAATTAGAGAAGCCATTTTGGCAAAGGTAGGAATCCATCTCTTCCTTCAGCTATGGATTAAACAACAGACTTGAATCCGGAAAAATTATTGTTTTCATCCAAAACCTGTTAATATCCATTCGCAAAAAATATTTATTCTTACAATCAAAAAATATGCTTGGCCTTTAAATAACACACAAAGGGTTGATAACTTGTAAAAAAGACAAACAAATATAGTAAATGCTATTTTCCTTTTGTGTTTCGGGCTTCATAAATAGGTAATAGGATTTCAGCGATAAATTCAACATAAAATTTGAAATTCTTTTTTTAAGCATTGACAGTAGATTTCCTTCTCTTTTTCCTTAAATTTGCTTTCTTAATTTTTCATATTAACATGGTTAATTGACACAGTTAAAATGTTGCAAGTAATATTGTTTATTTTATTTAAAAGTTAAAGCAATATAAAAAATAGTTTGATTGTGGCCTACAGTTGATTTAAATAAGTGTTTCATCATTTCTTATGAAAGTTCTTAATCTATTTTTTTTAATTATTTCACCCTAAGCAAGGCAAATAAAGCTACTAACACGTTTTTATTTCACCCCCAAGCAAGACAATACTCTAATGAGAGAATATGTGGATAAACACTAAAAAGGCGAAAGAACAATAAAAAAAACACGAATTAAGAATACAGAAGATAACGATTGGCATTGCATTAAAATTTTTCAATATCAAAATTGACAGGGATCCAGAAGTCGGAATAGAGTTCCGCAAGTGAGCAGTGCGATAGAAGAAACTGTTAACATAGAACTTGCGGTTACAGCTAGCCATTTCCACTGTGAAATAATAAGACTTTGCCGTCAATTTAGTACTGCGTCTAAATTTATAAATCCTAGTACCATATAGACAGGTCATCAGAATAATTAGTATGAATGTATTTGTAGAAAAGGCACAGGAAAGTTGCATTACAGCACCGGGAAAGTGACTGAAGTCGAGATGCCAGGTTAAGACCAATAACATTTGCAGATTATTCTTTGGATTTTATAATCGTTTGCTGATCATTTCGGACTCAAGTGAAGATATATTTCGAAATGAAATGGAGCTAAACATTATGTCGATTCTTGTTTTTGTTGTTGTTGTTGCTGCTGCTGCTGCTGCTGCCATATGCACCACCAAACGTGGGCGATCATTGCTCTGCATTTTATGTTTTGAAAGTTTTACATTTTTAATCCATCCTCTCCACCATGTTCTAGAAAAATCATCACCTTCATTTTGGCTGTCCACTTCGAATATCTAATTGTTTCCATCTTCGATTCTTGCTTTTATTTATTTCTTATACCGATTTTTTTCGTCTGACACACAGAGATTGGCATTCATTATTTTTAGTTTTTTTTTTATCACCAGCGAAACTAAGTCACATCGATCTTTTTTTTGAAATTTTTCTCCTTCTTTCTTGTTTTCTAATCCTTTTCATTCAACCCGCCCCAAATCTTTTATTTTTGTTCAGTTTATTTCTTGGCGCCATTAATCTGTCCGCCATATTTTCTCTAACTGTTCCCTCCTCCTTTTGCGTTTCAGAAAACAAAAAAAAAATGTCGCGCTGTAAAAATGAGTATAGCGATATTTCGTTCTCTTGTGTTCGTTAATCCGATGCAGTAAACCACTGCTGACATGGACTAAATTAATTTTAAAACAAAACTGTCAGTCAGTAGATATTAAGATTTGTAATCTCTGATTTAAATATGTTTCTTGAATCTGCCAAACAAGCCGTCATAAAATCATTGCGCTGAAACTTTCCAGATATTGTCGTCTGTGTTTAATGTAGTCGAAGTTCAGAAAACATGGAAAAACAACAAAAAAAAACAAACTACCAAACAAATATTTCGTTTTGTGGGATCGGAACAAAAAATAAACAAGCTAGAATATGAAAGAAAGAAAAACAGATGGAGACAAGTCTAGGTGAAGAGACATGAGGTTAGATATAGTTCTGTAGACAACAATGTATCAGAGAGTTTAAAGAAGGAGAAAATCCGCTAAAAGTCTTAACAACAGTAGCGGAAATGATGAAGTCTTTTTAAAATACATAGACGCCAATTCAAATTCCAGAAACGCTCAAATTACAAAACTCGGAACAAACTCTCCTATTATTCAAACACCATAAAAACAGCTCCCGGCCGATATTCGGCTGGGGGTTTTGACAAATATTGGATCGTTTCTTGGCCTATGGCTGAGTTTTGATCAAGGCTTTGACTAGCTTGAACTGGCTCCGGCCTGGACCTGTTAGGACAAGTCATGACCAGCTTTGACTAGACTCTGACCAGCTTGGACAAGCTATGACCAATTTTGACCAGTGGCCTTTGAGTGGAAACACTCGGGTCTCCCACGTTAAACGACCTTGTGTCACATCTTGATTTTGTGGGAATCAAGTAAATACTAACACCATAAAAACATCATCATAAACAGACAAACATGAAAAGAAATTAACAAAACTTAAAAACACCTCCCTCTCTGAAAATGGCCGAAAGCGCTTGCGACAATGGTTCGGGCCGTTTAACCGTTTTTTAAAGAAATCAAAGTGAATATTTAAGTTAAAAATTAATTTCGAACTATTGTCCTAATCTTTGTAGCGATATTTATCACGGAGCGTACAACGTTTCGGCCGCTGTACGCTCCGGCCTTCTTCAGATGGTTGGAATATCGAACTGAACCCTTTATTTCGCTCGCTGGGGTAGACTGTTTTAGTTCCACGTGCCATGTCTAATGGATGCCCGTTATCAGTTATCTACTGTTAATTCACCTCTCCAACTTCTCAACTGCCTTAACCAGGTATTGAACTCACACTGTCACTGGATCTAACCAACGCCTTTATCGATTATGTCATGTGTCCGAATAATGTAAATAGTGTACATAATACCGCATCTCAATAATATAGATAGATACTGAAGGGCCGAAACGTTGTAATAAATATGGCGACAAAGATGAGGACAATAGTCCGAATAATG